TTTTTTTTTTTTTAGAGGTTTTTGCTATAGGGCATGTGCGCTCGCCAGAGACAGAGACAGAGAGCAGAAAGTGAGAAATCGCCCCCGCCCCAGGGGGAATGGCCACACCACAATCCCTTCTTCTCCATTCTCCTCTTGGGATCTTGGGCACGCACGCACATGCACCCAGCATGAGTTTTAAGCCACCAGGTCCGGGAAGCCAACCGCCATCAACTATGTGGGAGTCCAGCAACATAGCCATTACACTAACTGCTGGTCCCATTACACTGTTCTTTTTGAAATCCTTTTATAGTATTCCATTTTGAACATTTTATGTCTATTATATTGGGTTGTCGGAAAAGTCATGACGTATTTTTTCTATGCAAAAATGAATCATGACTTTTCCAACAACCCAATATATGACTTTTTTTGAGAGAGAGAGATTTTTGCTATAGAGTATATGCACTTGCTGGAGAGACAGACAGAGAGACAGAAAATGAGAAATCAGCCCCCCTGGGGGGATGGCCACACCACAATCTCTTTTCCTCCATTCTCCTCTCAGGATTTTGGGCATGCACGCATATGCACCCAGTGTGAGTTTCAAGCCACCAGGTTTGGGACTCAAACTGCAGTTAACCTGCTGGCACAATATCTGACTTTAGAAAAGAAGTATGATGCTCTTTATATTTCTTAGTATTAGGTGATAACAATAGACTGCTTTTCCCCCCCTTCAAAAATAATTTTGATAACCAGCCAATTTCTGACTTCCCATAAAATTCATTTTGGCACAGAATGATCTTGATGCTAACATTTCATAAAAATACTAACATTTCATAAAAACGTTTTACTGATTACAGTGTTCCTACCTATTTTACAGAGAAATACTGGGATTACATGAAATAAAGATAATATCCTTATAATATGTATCATTTACTTGTCAACATTAAATTTCCTCAAGTACTCAACTATACTTGGCAAAGGCCATGTAAACATTTAAAAGATTTTTGTTTTTTTAACATATCTAAGCAGATACCTGGATATGCCAGGATTCAAATTGTGGGTAGCCATGTGAGATTTGGCACCCTTAATCACTAGACGACAGGACTGGCCCAGTTTTCTAAGGTTTTAAGATCATGTTGAGCTACTTTGAATTGGGCAAAGACATACATTATAAATCCCTCTATATATCTTCAAAGGTTACAGAAGTTGGAATTAAGCCGTTTATTTCAAGGTTCTATCTAATAACAAAATTTCTCCTAATAATCTGATCTAAATCTGAAGTGTCATTTCTTTTCCTTTTTTTTTTTTTTAAATGTGTCGTTTCTAAGCAAAGGTGGTATTTTAAAATGGAAGAATGATTGAACACAGCATCTGTCAAGATTTCACCAATAAGGAAGACTGAGAATCACCTGGATTTTATTTCCAGATCTGCTGATTCCTGATAGTATATATTACCTTTTTCTTCTTAATTCCAGAGGTCAAGTAATTATAGCAATGACTTGACCTACTGTAGATGGACATATATTTCATTCCTCAGCAGGCCTCAGATACACTCCAGTCCAATGTCATATTCAATGCAAGAATGTCTTGGTTTCCATGGCCCCTGGTCATGGAGAGCAGGACTGAATACTTCAGTAACATAAAACATGAGCAATGACCTTGGCAGACAACCAACCATCCGTTCTGTTAGGTAGTTCTGACTGTCAGAAAGTCGTTCTGGGGAACAGAATAAGCCTCGCATTGATTTCCACCCACTGGGTGTAGGACACAAAATAGGCTTAGACCCTTATCCTGGATGGGTGAGTCAGCCAATTTGTTAATGAAGTATAGAGAGGTTCAATTTCAACAGCAAAAACTGTTTTTTGATCAGAGATAATATTTGGTTATTGGCATATTCTGGTTTGGAGTCACAAGGGGGCTGAGAAAGATTGGAAGATTCCATCAACTAAATCTATCGCCACCCTGGAAAAGGAACTTTAGGTACACATTCTACTATTACGGGAAGAAGAAACTCATTTTTATATGCTAGAAATGAAATTCTGACTTTGCATTTTACTAATGTACAGAAAACAGGACTGAATTTAATTTAGTCATCCAAGGCAGGAACCTGAAAAGTTATGCTTGATTCTTTCCATCCCCTTTTACTCTCAATCTATATTGTCACTTCTATCTCCAAAATGTTCCTAAAACCCACCGCCTCCCCTACATCTCCTCAGGCTTAGCTCAGGCTCTTCTGTTTGGACTACAGCAATGCACAGGATTTCCCCCTATATTATCTACTCCTGTATCCTTAGAACTAAAAAATCTACATGACATATCCAAGGAAGGGTTTGATATATATCTGCTGAGTGAATTTAATAGCCTCCTAAAAAGTCGTCTTTCTCTTCCCATTTCAGTCCATTGCCTTTACAGTTTGTTTCATAACATGAGATCATTCCCCTGAATACAGCCCTTCCCATCCAAGACAGAGTTTCAGCTTCCTGGCAAGACGAATATGGCCTTTCAGAATCTGCATCCAATTTACCCACCAGTGTCATCTCCTGTCACCAATCCACCCATCCCCAGGGCACATTAAGTAGCTACACGCCCCTGCTTTCTTTTGCCTCTGTGCACTTAGACTTGCTCCGTCTGAAATGTCTGCCCTTCCCCTTCGCCCAGGCAACTTACACTGGATAGCTCAATGTCCACCTGAAACATGACGTACTATGTAAAATGAACTGTTCCGTCCTCTGAGAATCCAACAACACTTTGCATTTCTATCTCTGGCCTTTTCCGCATCATGTGACAATCTATTTTCTCTCCATTTATTCTTACTAGAGACTGGCCCACAGCTGGCTCTCAGTGAATGTTTGTTGAAATGAAATGAAAAGATACTATATAATGAGGTATTTCTAAGTCTAACACCTGTAAAACACTGTCTACTGGGTAGGTGACAAGACCAACATGCTATGAATTGTTACAACTTTCTGTACAGTTCTATGACATTCATTTCCAATTCTTGAAATCAACTTTTAAAACTTATTTTTAAAATGAGAGCTGCTTTTTATATCTCTGCCAAAGGTATCTGGGTATTGTGTCATGACACATATTCTATTGCTTAATCGTTACATACATGTCAAAGTGGAAATTATGAAAACTTCTAAAAACTTTTTTCCTTCTAAATGAAGTATTTTATTTTTTGAAAATATAGGTATTTCTTGGATTTATTATTCTATAAATTCCAAAGAACATCTCAAATATGCCAAATCGCTATAAAATTTAGGAAAGCAGCATTTGGGGATATGGAAGTATAGTGCTTGGATGGAGTATGTTTGTGCTACTTACAGGATGGGTTGATTGATAGCAAGTTAATGAAGTGATCAACTTTCAAGTAGAAAAGTGTTTTTTTTTTCTTTTTGTTTTGTTGTGTGTGTGGAGAGGGGATAGATTCCCTGGCATAATATTCCCTTTCATCGCATTGTACACAATATATAAAGAACTCCTAAAATCAGTCCAGTAGAAAGACAGATCAATCACTTCCACACATCTGATCACTGTCCTGCTGTCTCTCCCCAGGCCACATTTAAATTCCACTTGTCTTGTTCACTTCCAGGAGTCGCTGGGTTTGGTCTCTGCTCTGAGACCCCTCCAGGCCAATACAACCCGGGCCTGTCCAGGGAAGTGGCCTGAGGTCTCCTATTCTTTTCTCCCTAGGTCCCAAGAGCAAGGTGATTCTCCTGTAAACACAGCAGCCTTGCTAACCTACTCAAAAGCTTTTGATGGCCTCAAACTGCCTCACCTTTTACAGCTTTAGTTTTTCATTTCATCCTTAAACAGCTCTATGGCACACATTTTCACTGGACAGTTTGCTGGTAGTGGACGCCAGGACAGAATTTGGGTTTCATTTTCTTTTAATTATGTTTGCTGCCTCCAGATTACACGATTCCAAAGGTAAAAACAATTCCTCTGGGGTCCTCAGCCTCATCAAATATTCTCTCTCTCACTATACACACACAGTCACACGGTTTTTGCAGATTCCTTTCAGCTGTTCTGTAAGCCCATCACCTTAAGAGGGGTCACTATTCGTTACCGTTCCAGAGCCACTCATTAAGCAGAGCAGTTTCCAAGTCTTCCAAAGGTGTGCCTTTAACCACTTCCTCCTTACAATGAGGAACTGGCTGCATAATCATTCCCAACCTGCGGAAGGCTGTCACCCCCAAACCACCTCGGTGACCTGCAGAAGTCACTTGTGGTCAGCCAGGCCGGTACCTTTACCTTTTCAGGGGACGGGAGCCCTTGGAGTCGTTGCCCTGGTTGCCCTTTCACACCAGGTCAGGATCCCGGGCCTGGAAACCCTCCCAGAGTAGCTGTCCCGAGGCAGGGACGTCCCACCCTTGCCACCCTCACCCGGAATAGGCTCGGGGTCCCAAGGAAGGGGCGGGCGGAGAGGAGCCCGCGGGAAACCGAGCCACCTCCTCACGGCGCCCCTGTCCAACCCCTGCTCGGGCTCACCGGCCACCCGTGCTTGGCCTTTCTCCGGGTCACTGCTTCCTGGGCATCGTTCCGCGGGGGAATGACTCTGGATCTGAACTCGGACGCCGACTAGGTGACCCGCCCGAGGGCGGTGGCGACTGCGGGGGCGGGGGGCTCAGGGAGCCCTGAGCTGACGCGCTGCCTCGCGAGGCCTGGCCCACATCCCGGGCCCGCCCCCGGCCCGCCCTCAGCCCCGCCCCAACATCCCGCCTCCGCCACTGGAGGCTGTCCCCAACGTCCCACCTCCTCCCCTGGAGGCGAGTCAAGGCTGCGCACTGCAGTGAGAGGGGTTAAATCTATTTTTTTTTTAAACCGTAGTCGTTAATTAAACAAATGACTTGAAGGATCAGGCAGACTCGGTGTTCTCTGTCTTGCCGGCGGGATCTCCCCCGAAAAAAACCCGCCGAAGTCACAGGGAGTGCTGCGCCCCAGGGAAAGGGGAGGTTCCCAGGCATCGATCTCTGTTGAAATAGACATCCACGCAAAACAAAACAACAGGAATCTCCCCAAACAAAAAGCCTGCTGGATGCTTCTTCGGCTCTGCTTCCCAGAGACTAGGTTATCCGTTAGCAACTGGATGTTTCCGGTGACCTGAGTGGGATTAATGGATTGACCTGGATTAAACCTGGGAAAGCAGCCTTTGCTGCTGTGGAAAGATTGATCTACAGTCCCAGACGAAGAGAGATGCCTCTGCATTAGACAGTACAGATAAAAGGTAGACAGCAAGACGAGGTGAGAGGGAAAACCGGCCTGGTTCTAAGCTCCGTGAGGAGGCATTCACAAGGTCGCAGCCACAGGACACAGATCAGATCGCGAGGTCGAAACTCTGGTGCCTCAGCAGCAGGGCCTTCGTGCAAGAACAGTAAACAGAGATTAGGAAGGGGTGGCAGGTGATCTGGGAGAAGTCTGCTAGCTTGTTTATGCCAAAATTTAAAAAGGGTATCATATCTGGGAAGAACTTGATTTACAAGAGAGGGACTGTCGCTGTGAGGATCAGTGAGTATAAACAGCATGTGGGTGTGTCCACGCTGCTCGCTGGTCGAAAAGAGACGAAGGAAAATTCTAATCCCAAACGGAAGAAAACAGATGCGCCCTCTCCTGGCATCCTCCAAAGATTCAACTTTGCTGTCTAGACTGCCCACTGCATGGCCGGCTCTCCCTCTGGCGCTCACCGCCTGTGAGCATAACCTCAAGGTCAGGGGAGATGACTAGGAAGTCAGTGACTCCCTAGATCCAATCCTCAAGCCCTCAAACTGGTGTGGTGAGGATGGTGAGATGCCAGAGGTTGCTTGGTAGAGTGAGGCTGTGTGTGTGTGTGTGTGTGTGTGTTGGGGGGTGGGGAGGCATGGAGGTGAATGTCACAGCCCAAAAATGTGGAATTTTTAAAAAAATCAGTGCAGGGGAGAACTGGTGTCATTTATGAAGAGAGCTTAGGAAAATATATAGAGAGGGAAAAGATGGAATAAAGTCCAAAGTTTTTGTTTAACTACCAGGATTATTCAGGCAGATGAGACTTCTTCATAGCTGTCCCCTGAGGGCTGTAGGGAGGACCCCTCCTAGGCCTGTTAGGGCTGCCTGGATGAGTTACACTCCACTAGACTCTCTTCCAGTGTTTTAAACCATATTAAGGTGAATTAAAATGAGCATCAGAGAAGCTTTGCCCTTCCTGCACCTCATTCTAACTGTAAAACAGAGGACACAGTACAATTTCCAAATACATAAGTTCTGGTACCCAGAAGTTCTTATCTCTCTCTCTCTCTCTCTCCTTTTTTATTTCTTGAGAGGTTTTTGCTATAGGGCGGGTGCGCTCGCCAGAGAGACAGAGACAAAGAGACAGAAAGCGAGAAATCATCCCTATTCTTCTCTAGGGATCTTGGGCATGCACGCATGCACATGCGCCTGGCATGAGTTTAAGCCACCGGGTCTGGGACTCAAACCATGGTTGACTACATGGGCATTCAGTGACATAGCCATTACGCTAATTGCTGGTCCCCCCCTTTTTTTTTTTTTTTTTTTGATTTTGCCATAGGGCATGTGTGCTCATGGGAGAGAGAGAAAGTGAGACATCACCCCCTGGAGGATGGCCATGCTGCATTCCCCTCTCCACTCTCTTGGGATTCTGGGCACACATGCACACAAACTCAGCATGATTTCTAAGCTATGGGATCTGAGACTCAAACCACAGTCAGTCATGTGGAAAAGTTCTTTTCTTATTTCATTTGATAGCAAAACCCCACCCAACTGATAGAATTCAATATGAAGTTTTATGTAATTTTTTTGAAGGAACATTATTATGAGTTATTATAAGCCCTGTTGAATATTAAATTACATAAATTATGTGTATTACCTTTCTAAAATCCAAACAGTTCTGGGGTCTCAATAGTGGCAAGGAAGTGAAATGCAATGCACTGCGAAGCTGACCCACATGGGAAAGTTGCTGGTTCAAGTCTGGAATACGCAAGACTTCCCTTAGATTTCTGGGTATTCATGTGGCTATGATCCGGCTGGCTGAAGCTGGGGGTGCCCAACATTTGAGCAGGCTGAAAATGTGTCTGGATCCTTTCAAGGGTGCTATATTTCTCTCTTTCTCTCAAGGAATAAATAAATAAAATTATTTAAGAACCTAAACAATTCAGAATTCCAAGACAGAGTTTGCTCTAAAGATTCCAAATAAGTGATTTGATTCACAGCACCTACTCCCTAAGGATATTATGAAGATTAAAGAGATAACATGCATAAAACTAGCCCCCGTCACTCCTAACTTAGAACAGTAGCTGGAGTATAGTATGGATCATTACTATTATTGCTACTGTTCAAGCCAACTCTTCCTTAGCCTGAAAAGTCCATTTTGGTCCCTCAATCCTCCCTCATGTTCTATGAGAAGATGGAATCTACTTGCAGTTAAGAAGACTGAAATTATGACATGTGTCTAGGTATTTCACTGGTGTGACTGTGGTAGGCAAATGTAAAGCATGTGGTGGAGTATTTAGTGAGATACTGATTTGTATTTTACATGTTTTGTGATCCTCCTACCCGTAAACTGCTCTGTGCTGAGAGTATGGTAGTTCCTTGTGTTTCCTGTCTCCCCGAACGTTTACAAGATACTAAGCAATAGCTCTTGGAAGAACAAACTTCATTTTTGTTTTTTGAGGAAGCCCAATCTCAATAAGCACATTATCTACCCCATTGTCCTAGAGGGAGAGGAGAGAGAGCTGGGGTGGGATGGGGGCTTTCACAGCAGTTGGAGGAAGTGAGTTCCCATATTGGGAGAGAGGGGTGGCCTGGTGATCTCATGAACATCAAGGGCTCAAGCCTCAGTCCCTGCAGTATCAGGACAGATGGCCAGCCCTTGAGTGATAAACCTATGTGATGCATCCACTGGACCCCCAAGAGTCTTTGACAGAGTGTGGTGCCAAAGCTTGCTGGAAACAGCACAGCAACCTGGCTTCTTCCTTGGAGCACCCCTAGGGTAGATAGTGAGGATATCAGAAGCAAAACCGGTGGGCTGATGAATGATTGGCTCTTACTCCAATGGGTACCAAAGCCTCCCATGAGGCCCGAGAATTAATTTCCCTATTCTCTTGCAAGGGCTGTTTTTAAAGAAAAGACATATAACTTTTTTATAGTCAGCTGAGCTAGTAGACTAACAGTTATGCACACTAGATGTAAAAGACTGCATATATTGTGATTATATATACACATACACACATATATATATAATCATAATATATGCAGATAAATAAATAAATATATATATATATACATATATATATATATATATATATATAATATATAAAGAGAAAGTCTTCAGAACGTTCATGGAAAATCTTGGCCATGGATTTTAATTTTTTTCACCAAAATCAACTGATATTTTACTTCCATTTTTCACATATTGAACGTCCAGGAAAGGGAAATAGAGAAAGACAGACCATTAGTTGCCTGAAATTGGGGGTGGCTCTGACAGCAAATGAGGTTAGATCTTTTTTTAAATGATGAAAATAAAATTTAAAATAGCATTTATTTTACTTTTTTTTTTTTTTTTTGCCATAGGGCATGTGCACTCTCTGGAGAGAGACAGAAAGAGAACATGAGAAAACAAGCTGCCAGGTCTGGACTGGAACTTCAGAGATTTTGAGAATGCACACACACACATGTCCAGCGTAATTTTCAAGCTGCTGGGTCCAGGACTTGAATCATGGTCAGCCATGTGTGAGTCCAGCACGTAAATCATCATGCCACCTGCTGGCCTCTATTTTATACTTTTAATTTACATTTAATTGTACATTTTCATAGGGTACAATTTGGTTTCTCAAAGCATGCATGTACTGTGTAATAATCAAATCAGGGATGTTGCTGTAGTCATCATCTGCAACAAAGAACATTACATTATGATATGTACCTTCAATTTTCATTCTATTAGGTTTTTCTTAATCCAATCGTCAGATGTTGGGCACTCAAGTCGATTCCATATCTTAGCTATCATGAATAATGCTGCAATAAACATGGATGCATGAATGTCTCTCCAACAGAGTGATGTTCTGTCATCTGAGTAAATGTGCAAGAGTAAGATTATAGGTCATACAGTAGTTTTATAATTTAAAAATTTTAAAGAATTATTAATTTAATTTATTTTTTTAAAGATTTGCTATAGGGCTTATGTGTTCACCAGAGAAAGACAGAGAGAGAGCAAGAGAGAGAAGGAAAGTGAGAAAGCAAGCTGCTAGGTCCAGACTGGAACTTCAGTTGGCCATGTTGGAGTCTAGCACCTTAACCACCATGCCACCTGCTGGCCCCATTATAATTAAATTTCTGAGGAACCTCCATCTTGTTTTTCTCAATGCCTATACTAATTTACATTCCCACCGATGGTGCATGAAGGTTCCCTTTTCTCCACAACTTGTTCTTTTTTTTTGGATCATAGAGTTAAGTGATGCCTCATTGTGGTTTTGCATATTTAAAAAGTTCATCATCTCATCATGAGGGAGATAATGCAAATATTCTACAACTGGATTACAATGATGATTTCACAACTCCATAAGTATAATTAAAACTCACTGAGTTGTACACTTACAGTGGGGTGGATTTTTGTGGCATGTAAATGATACCTAAATAGGGCTGTACAAGCCACAATGAAGCTACAGAAATAAATAATAG